GCTGGCGTTGGATAGGGCACACACTGAGAAAACAGGAGAACAGCATAACTAGAATGTCTTTGCATTGGAACCCACAGGGGCATAGGAATAAAGGAAGGCCAAAAAACACATGGAGAAGAGAGCTGGAGAACGAGGTTAGAAAGATTGGGAGGACATGGGGAGAGCTCCATGCAATGGCGAAGGATAGAACGACTTGGCGTGAGTTGGTTGAGGGCCTATGCTCCATTGGGGGATAGAAAGGCAGAAGAAGAAGAAGAAGAATCACCAAGTACATCAGCCAACCAACAAACCAACCAGACTGTGTGTTAGAACTAACCACCTAACCTACGTACCTATCAGCTAACTAGTTCTCATCATCAATTTCCACTTCTGCCATTAAGCATCGTGGAGAGGAACAGTTTGTGATTCAATACTTGATGGGCAGCAATGGCTATTGTCATTCCGTGTCTATGTAGGAGCTGTTTAATGTTATCAAACCATCTTCTCCTGGGAGGGTCTCTTGCTTTCACTTCAGATCTTTTCATGTGTAGCACCTGCTTAAATAGTTTGTTCTGGCTACATTTTTAGTAGATGATCAAACCAGTTGATCTTCAGTTTCTCAGTGAATTTGCTGCATGGTGTTGTTGCCACAGACTGTCTGACGGTATTATCTCAGATAGTCAGGCTGGCTGGCAGCTTTTCTCAGGCATCTCATTTCACAGGTGGTCATTCTATACGTTGATTAGCCTTTGATAATAGTGATTAGTGATTAGAAAGGATTATCATCATAACACTCCGGACAGATCCATAGGTGTTCCAGTCTCTTCCCTAAAAGCTCCACAAGTGGATTAAATTGTTTTCTGTGTTTGCTTTTTGAGTTGGTGAAAGGGCAGGTACATTTTTCAGGGATTGTTTCAAGTGTTCATAGCAGAGAAGGGACACTTTTTAACACTTTGACATTTGATTAGCTGGTCACATGAAGCAGTTATTTTTATTTTAATGAATTGGTCAAACAGAAAAATATTATGTTATATTCGATCAGTTGTTTACACAGAAGCAGTTATTTGATAGATGATAGAGAAGGTACAGTTTTCAACAAATATTTGCTGTGCTGGTGATAGAGAAGGTACAGTTCGTAGTTATTGTTTGCTGACTTGGTGGTAGGGATGGTTTAGTTTGTAGTAAGTGTTTGCTGAGTTGGTAATAGAGAGGGTACAGTTTTCAGTGATTGTTTTGCTGAGTTGGTGATAGAGAACGTAGTTTTCATTGTTTGTTTGGTAACTTGGCAACAGAGAAGGTACAATTTTCAGTGACTGTTTGCTGACTCGGTGGTACAGAAGGAATAGTTTTCAGTGATTGTTTGCTTTGGTGGTGGTAGAGAAAGTATACTTTTCTGTAATTGTTTTTGCTGAAGTGGTGGTAGAGAATGTACAGTTTTCACTAATATTTGCTTCTGTCTCTGCTTTTTTTAATGATAGCCAATCATTACATTTCTACCTGCATATTTCAAGGTACTTCCTTGGCAGTTAACCTAAAAATTCATTCATGCACACACACCCAATTATACATAAAACCCATACATTTACAAATATCACTACACACACAAACACAGCTACCACTAGATACATAACACTTAAAAACACATACATCGATGGACACCCACATATACACACTCGGGAAGGGGGGGGGGGTGGGGGTAGGTAATTACATTCCGGAACAAAAGATGTCATTACGTAGTGACCCGCTAAACTAACCTGTAGAAAAGGGGTAAAGAAGTATAAGATGCTCGTACATTTTCAAAAAAAAAAAAAGTAAAAAAAAATGCTGGCATTTCTAGAATCTTTTCTAACTTTTCTCTATGAGTGTGAGAAAGAGAACAAATGAACGAGAGAGAGAGAGAGAGATAGTAAAGGCAACATTAGATTATGTCAGCAATAACAACTCTACTAGTTTAGAAGTACAAGGGAAGACTGAGCCTTTCTGATTTGTTTTGCAGCTAATGCAACTATTGGCACTAATTAATGTATTAAAAGCGCATTTGATATCTTATGTCATTGCTTCTCTGCATAATGATACGAACCAAAAGTATTACAGATAAATGTAGGAAATATTGTATTTGTTGGACTTTGACTTTTATGTAGAGAGTTGTTAGATACTGGAGTGGGGGGTAGTAGGTAGGTAAGTTGTACCCCACCAGGACATCACATATAAGCGATAAGCACCCATGGACGCAAAGTGCCACAATGCGGATGAGGATCACCCGTGGAGAGGTCCCGGAAACCCCTTTCAGCTGTTAGGCCATATTTAGGGCACCCGTCAAAAGCTAAGGTGGGGCTTCGAATAAAAACAATGCATCCCACAATGGGACTAATGTATACCTGTTTGGCGGGGAGGTGGGGGAGTGGTAAATGCAAATGATGTTTCTTAAATGTTGTGCACAGTGGCAGAATAAACAAATGTTACCCATTGTGAGTCTGTTCATTGTGCTCTGGTATTGATTGAGTAGCTAATGAGATTTTGTCCCATGGGACCTGCCTCGTGCATTATTCATTCATAGCGATATTTAATTGTAGTAGAAGTAACAAATTACAAAATAATTATTAAGCATTTGTAGAAGTGAATCAGAGAAATATAAAAGTGTACAGGGCTATCTCCCCTAGTCAGAACTTGACCTATGACGTTTGTTGTTCGTCAGGGTTTGTTAATTGATTTTCTACATAAAGAGAACTTATTTTAAATCTATAAAAAATATGCAGTTTGTAATTACATTCCGGAACAAAAGATGTCATTACGTAGTGACCCGCTAAACTAACATGTAGAAAAGGGGTAAAGAAGTATAAGATGCTCGTACATTTTCATCATCTCCACAATATTTATTTAATTTTTAAGTCTATAAAAATTGTTATTTAAGATAAAATGATGTGGGATTAAATATTTTTCAGACTGGCTTACAAAATATGGTTGTACTGCTAATAACACAGTCCATGTCATGTGATGGAAAACATAAAAAAAAAATTTTTTTTTAAATTTTTATTTTATTTGGTAAAACTAACAATTCAGCTGAAATTATAAATGCAGAGAAAGAAATATTTATGTTTTCACAATACTGTCCATCATTTTTTAATGGGGATGGGCATCTATCTTACTAATTGCTAGAAGCCATGTGAAAAAAAATGTTAGCCTTCAGCGGGTTTGCGACCCTATTCAGGAGGACAAAAAAAACAAAACAAGGAATAGACCACTGCCTATTACCGAGCATGTGGTAAAAGATGACTAATTAACTCTTTCAGATCCATGCATTTTGACAGACTTGGCTCGCAATTATTTCCACTTACCAAAATGGGGTTGGTATTAAAAACAAAAAAAAAAAGAAAGAAAGGCAAGTGAGAAAGTAAAAAATTTACAATCCCTGCAAAAATACATGTTTTTTTAAAAAGAGGATTAAATGTACATTTTGAATAAGTTCTGTTTTTTTTTTAATACCGTTATAGTTAGTAGAAAAAAAATCAGCAGGTGTTATGTTTACAGAGACAAAATTTTACAAACAATTCTTCACTTACCATGGTTTTGCAGCCACAAGAGCAGCGAATATCCAAATCTGAGAGTAGCTTTTTAAAGTTTGTTCAATTTCCTTACAAATCAAAAAGTTAAGATACGTTTCTGGGTTAGCTAATCACTTAGAGGCTGTAGGTTTTCGTTGAGTGCTGAACAAAATATCAAAGAAATAAATGACAGAAAAACGGCCCATTATACACAAAATATTTACTTTGTGCAGCTATAAATAGACTGTAGCTGCAGTAATTTCAATGTAGCGAAGCTGTAGTATGGTACTGTTTGAATCAGTCCTTTGGATGCATATCTTCTTCTTCTTCGCGTTCACCAGCTGTACACTCTGGCGGAAAGTTCTGGTTGCTCATCCACTACTGAACTGCAGTCCTGCTCCAGAACCTGAGTGTTGCGTGTGCATCAGTTTTACAGATCTCATTCTCTTGAATACAGACTTTTGGTTCCTTGCCTCTCCAGCAGATGCACTCCGACTTCAAAGGAAGCTCCCCAATTAGTCGACTCTTACGACATGCTTTTGGGGAGACAGTGGGTCTATTCTTGTTTTCCTTACAATGGGGCCCCGGAACCCACACGGGGGTGGATGCATATGAAATGGGTCCTCCTGGGTTTAAGTCAACAGAACTGCTTGATTCTCTAACAGCTGACCGCTCAGCTGCCACTGGTGTGAATTCTCAATCCAAATCAATTTCCAGGAAAAATTTAAGTTTTCACTATCATTATCAGAATTAAAAACATCTTGCTGAAACAATTTCAGAGCTTCAGCCACAGAAAGGTACATTTTGTAGCCTGTGCTTGTTTTCAAATTACTGGTGTCCATGGCCAGTTGAAGATGAAATCAAAAAAATTGTCTAAAAATGATGCTAGCAGTAAATTGGATAAATATGTGTCTAAATGTTTGAAGAGAAAAAATAAAAGACAAAGACTTGTAAACAAAGTAAAAACGTTAGAATAAACTTCCCTAAATATTTTAATGGTAGTTGTGAACATTAGAAGGGAACACAGAGCAGTGTGGGAATCAGTATGTACAGGACACACAGTCGACACAGTTTGGTCAGATCAGAACTTCTCAATGAACACATACAGCCTTGCTTGGGCCTGAAATAGTCAAGGATTTGCTCAAATTAGAGGTTGGGTCAGATCTGGAGTTTAGCTTTAAAAAGGGGGAAAAGAAAGCACAACAAAGCATGCAAGCCACCCTTTTCGGAGCAGATGTAGAAGCAGAAAAATACATGCACAAATATTCACACAAGTTCTACACATGCACAAATGTGATCACATATAGACATAATACACTCCAGGCATAGTACAAAAAGCACACACTTGAACAAACACACAAACTCATATGTACACCCAGTTGGCAGTGATGTCGATTGTGATAACATAACTTATATGTACTCACATACACAGAGACAAATACAAACAATTATTTCTTATGTTTTGGTCTGTCCTTCAAGGTGAAGAACTGCGAAGCACATGGTGCCCAAGCTGTGCTGCTCTACTGGGAACCACATGATGCTAAGGATGATATTGATGCTCCAGTAGATGCCAGTTACATCCCCTTTGTCTCATCAGTCACATACTCTACAGGTACACATTTTTAATGCAGTAGTTCCCTCTGTGGGTTCTGGGACACCATTTTGGAGAACAAAGAATTGACCTACTGACTACCTAACAAGTACTTCATATGATTTGTTTCCTTTAAAATCAGAGTGCATCTGTCTGAAAAGCAAGGAACCAACAAACTACCTACAAATAAGGTAACTAAAATTTTACACAAGCAAAACTAAAGTTCAGGATCAGGACCAAAGTTTAGGAGTGGACAAGCAAAATTTGCCACCTTAGTTTACAGAAGCTATGACTATTCTTTAGACCCATAAAAGATGCAAACAGCGAGGAATGGAGAGTGAGAAGCAACAACAAAATTCATAATCTATTTGAATCACCATTGATAACTGACTCATGAGAGCTGATAGACTGAAATGGTTGGTGCATATTGAGAGAATGTCAGATGACAGAGAAGTGAAAACTGTAAACACAAGAGAGATGAATGGTCCTAGACCATGAGGCAGACCAAGAAGATGATGGAGAGATAATGTCCAGACACACCTGCAAACACTTGATGTCACCAACTGGAAAGAAAAGGCCAACCAGAGAGTTGAATGGAGTCGGGTGATATCTTCAGCAATGAACCTCAAGGGCTCGGAATGCCGAAGAAGAAGTTTACAGAGGCAGAGAAAGAAGATAAGGCAGTAGAAACTTTATAGGATTCTTCTCATAGTTTAGGCTAGGTGGCATTGGCAGCCATGCTGTAACACTCTTCTGTCGTGTATAGTGTCACTCATTTCTAATACAGATGTTTCCCTATGTCAAGTGGTCTAACAGTGTTTTATTTGTTTTTTTAACCCTTTCGCTGCTATGGACGAGATAACTCGTCTGCCCGGCAGACTGCTAAAGACGAGATAACTCGGCTGCAATTTTCTGTGCCCTCACTGCTAAGGACGAGATATCTCGTTCTGGACATTTGTTTACAGATTGCCAATGACAGTAATTCTTAGGGGTGAAATAGCAATACACATTAACTTAATCTGATCAAACTGACCCGTTTACATACAATTAAAACCCTTATCAAGTGAGTTTAAGCGTATTTAGATGCATTTCACGTTATCCTGTTTCTTTGTTACCATAGAAGCATTGTCGGTGATCGGTAATTTTTTTGCCCTGAAATATATTTCTGGTTTTGCGTTAGTCTAATTTTTTTTTTTAATACCAAATAACAAGAACATTTGTTTAAATACAGAAGAATTAATTAGTTTCTTTTAAGGAGTAGTAGTAAGGATCACTTTGAAACGTGTGAGTTATAAGAGCTGGGGTATCTTCGCGGCACGCCGGCGGACACGTGTACTTCTGGCTGTGAACAAGACTGACCAGTGACCATATGACCTAGCTATCTACATCAACTGGATTTGAAACGGATCCAAAATAATCAAAAAAAAAAAAAAAAAAAAAAATATGGTCACGTACTGGCGTGATGATTAATATTAATGTTAATTATATACTATACAACTGACATAAATGTGTTTGTCTATTAAAGCGTTCAATACTGGTCTTTTTTTAAATTCATAGTTTCATATGAATTTCTAGTGTAGTTGGTATCACGTCTGCCTTACAATCGAAAGGTCCAGCGTTCAACCCCTACGCGCCGTTTTTTTTTTTTTTTTAAATTAATTATTTTAAATGCAAATTTTAAATTTAAGCTGTTAGCATTTTCGGCAACAGATAACCAAAGTAATAATTAATTAAACATCCTGTCACGTGCGTTCAGGTGGATTTAGCTGCTTTACACGTTATGTGAAGCGTGGTTGGTGTACTGTGCACATTTATTATATAAATGTTGTGGGGGAAAAACACACCTGTTGCCGAATTTCACTTAATATTAGTAAGAGAAATTCTACATAAATATTGCAAGGAAAAGAGAAAAAGTGTAGGAGGACAAAAAAGTGAAGATCTGCCACTTCGTTTAGTACAAAGGCATTTCCCTTCAATAATAGAGTCCGTAACATCGCAGAAAAAATTCCCAACCAGAAAGTGTGTGGTATGCGCAAAAAGCAAAAAACGACGGAAAACCAGATACATGTGAAAGGACTGTGATTTGGCATTGTGTGTCCCACCTTGTTTTGAAATATTTCACACACAAAGATATTATTAATAATAATAAAAACCATGTATTTGCTTACTAAAGTGTTTTGTGTTTGCTTTGTAAGTTTGTAGTGTTTTCTTTTTGTTAATGAGTTTTCACGGCGTAGAAATAGCGCGTCTGACTTGTCAGCGCAAAGTTCAACCACACGCCTTCAACGATTTTTTATTTTAGGTGTACGATTTTTACCCCGTGCCGCAAGCGCGTCTTCTGCTTTTGAAGGAAAAAACGGTATTCAGCACAGGGGGAAAGATTAGCTCTCGCCTGGCTTAGCACAGTGGTTACGTTGGCTGGCGGAGGGCGCAGCAGCGAAAGGGTTAATAAAATGTAATTTTTTTTAGTGGTACTGAACTCTACTACGATATAAAGATGTGTGCAAGTGGGATACAGATATTGAGGTGGTCTATGGGAACCAAACGCCATGGACCGTGTTGTGGGGAGGAGGTCACATCAGGAAGGGAAAAAAAATAAAAGGAAAAAATGACTCCAGAAAGGATGAGAATTGAGTGTCTAAGAAGAAACACAGCAAACACAAATATTGAAAAGCAATGGTGCTGAAATCCTATGCTGTAATTGTGGAAGACTTTTCTTAACGCTGGCACGTCTTGCTAGCCACATTCCCCCCTGCCATGGGCTGTGAGTCCTATACCTCCTCATAGCACAGTATCACACTATCATCTGGAAAGATAGAAGTGCCAGTCAATTAATGGTAGTGAAAGAGTTGAATTGCCAATAGGTTTATCCTGCCCTATTTTGAAGCACACATGTTAACTCGGAGAGCACTTCATAGATGCATACATGCAAGGACATACATACTATCACGGCTATATTGTTTAGTTTTTAAAAATGTGTATAGTACTGATATGTTTCAAATGCATGCTGACTACATTCTTCCTTTAGAGTCAACAATTTGGAGACCTTCAATTCCTTGCCAGACCATTTCATCGAACCAGGCCAAATTAGTGTTGTCATTGCTGTATCAAGCTAACAACAGCAGGGCAGCTCCTGACTCCTGGCAGGGTTCACTTGTGACATCTTATTTTCTTGGTGGACAAAATTCTGGTAAGTTTCAATGCCATAATGTTTCTATTTAATGATATTGTGTTTATTTATAGTAACAAAATTTTTTAAGGAAAATAATTATTTTGTTTCAGAGGGGTCCCCCCCCCCCTTTTCCCCCTTTTTTCCCATGTGAATTGAACTGTTTGAAAACATAAAAGTAAAATTAAAAAGATTTCAATGAAGTCTCCAATAATGGGTATAGGAAAAACAAAACAATAAAAAAGAGAGTAGGGTAGAAAATCAAGAGTTGTCTCTGTCAAGGGTGTTCATATTCATGGTGAAGTGGTTATGCTAATGGCCTATCTTTTTGAAAGGTTGTGGGTTTGATATCAGAGTCTGACCTACTGGGAAGGCTAACCCGGTCAACAAATGCCCGCATAAGTCAGATGTGTTGGCCGAAAGGTGCAAATATCACAGCCATGCTGTAAACGGACACAGTGCAATTACATCTTCTGATGAACGCAGAAGAAGAAGACGACTCTGACCTTTAGTTCATGAGTGCAATCCTTGTGGTAATTCCCTCAGGGTCATCACTGGAGCTGCAGAGATTTGTTCTTTGTATAGCACTCATAGCTGATGAACAACTAATATACAGAGTAATAGAGAGAGAGATAGAAAGAATGTGTTTGTGTGTGAGAAAAACAATCTTTTTTTCCTAAAAGTTTAGAATTTGGGCATGCAGTTCTGTCTAACATTCTTCCCTAGCCTGTCTTCTGTCATAAAGTATTTTATTTTGGATATTTTTAATAGGTAAGATTAATATTATTTTCAAATGCTGGAGTGTTCTCAAATTATACCTACATTCCTAAACAAAAATAATTCTTAGTATAAAAATGGTAATAAATGTAACGGAAATGCTTAACATAGTGTTATCTTTTAATTGAGATAATTATATACATATTTTAGTGAGTTAATATTCAGATAGTTTACAATTTTTTTTGTAATGTTGTGGAAGATGGTTCTATAAGCTTCCTTTTGTAAATGTCTATCCTAGGTTTAAAGGTGTTTAGTGTGTGTGTGGGGAGGGGGGAGAGGAGAACAAAGAGTGATGAGATAAAAACCAGTGCTATCAGTTTAGTTTGATCCCCTCGCATTTATATATTTTCTATTTTAGAGCTATCGAGTGGATGTAAATAAGGAATGAATTATACTATTAATTTTCAGTTAGTTGTGTTTGATTCTTTTCCAGATAGTCTTATGGTTCATCTCTCAGTTTTTAACAAACCTGAAAAGCAGAGAATTCAAAACTTTGTTAGTACAGTGCAGGGAACCGATGAGCCAGGTAAAATACTATCCATTTTTCTGATGTCATTCTTGTAATACTGGTAAACAAGCCAATGATTTAGAGAGTTTCTGATTTATACCTTTACAGTAAAGAAAAGTGCATTAACCAATAATTTTGAGTTGTTCAATTCTAGTGTAATTTTCAAAATATTCCTATATTTGCTGATTTTATTTTGGTTTCAAAGGCCAGTATTGTCTTGTAAAGGAGAGTGCTCTTTTCCTATCATATGTGCCACTTGTCACTGTGATTTCAAGTTTATTTTTCTCTTATCAAATCTTGTTATCTAAACTATTAATAAATAAATAAATCTATAATAATCAACATTTTCTTTTGCCATGCCCAGTGATTTTGAGGTAGGCAAACACTTTGCGCATTTTAAGCTTGCTTTTACATCTGGAAGATCTCGTAGGTATCTCATTGCTCTACATCAGTGGTTTTCAACCTGTCGGTAATGACCATTTTTTCCCTGGACTATCAGGAATAGGACCTCTATGGACTGGAGAGACGTCAATCCATATGAGAGACTAAACGCTGTGAGGCTTTCAGTTTTGTGGGGTTGGGGGGGGGGGGGAATTCACTGAATAGACTGCATACCCTGGGTAAACCAACAAATGGAGGGGCAAGACAGGAAAACCATGAGGGAGCCACCGGTCATTACATCAACCAGAACACACTGGCTAGTCACAGGTGTGACCTAAGACTATAGGAAAACACATAATCAGTGAAGTTGTGAAGGAAAATAATTGTTTGTGGGTCACCACAATATAAAGGGACTGTATTTAAGGGTCGCGGTGTTAGGAAGGTTGAGAGCCACTGCTCTATATGATGTGTTTTTGGTGCAGCCAAGAATGATCTGCATTGCTTTATTTTGTACTGAGATGATACCAGCAAGTAACTAAACACAGCACAAACTAGGACCAGACTTCTAGTTACTAGTCATAATTTGTTTTGTATTTAGTTCATTGTTCAAGGGAGGAGTGACTGGCCCAATGGTTAAGAATACCGGGCTCTCATGCGGGAGACCCAGGTTCCAATCCCCGGTAAGGTTAGGGATTTTTTTCTTTTGAGGGCAACAATAAAATCATACCTTACAGTATGTTGTGACAGCATTAGCCCTGCGACCCTAAATCTTGAGGCTCAAAGATCCCTTCTACCTTCTCTGCAAAAGTGGTAAATACTGGTAGGAATAGTGGTTCATTTAAGGATCATCTTCATTGCACATCTGACATACAGATATGTGCTCTTATCTTCTCCTAAGCATGCTTGTTTACACCTGATGACTTCTGTTTTACATTGGTTGATATAGGGACTTGATATAGTTCTTGCATGGTTTTCACAATACACAGCTCCAAAATAGTATAATTAGCCTTCACATCAGAATCAGAGAGAAATCGTTAATTATTCTCATATTTAGTTATTTCATTTAAGGATCATCTTCATTGCACATCTGACATACAGATATGTGCTCTTATCTTCTCCTAAGCATGCTTGCTTACACCTGATGACTTCTGTTTTATATTGGTTGATATAGAGACTGTGAGTTCTTGCATGGTTTTCACAATACACAGCTCCAAAATAGTATAATTAGCCTTTACATCAGAATCAGAGAGAAATCGTTAATTATTCTCATATTTAGTTATTTACTTGTAACATATTGGGTTTGACCCCACATTTCAGTACTCAGTGGCGTGGATCACTTCATAAGACCTAGATCAAAAGCATATCATTGATTTTTTTGCACAATATATAGGTATGCGAGAAAACAAAAAGTCTGATAGATTAACTGCTGCCGCTCCTCTGGGCGATGAGCTACTGTATGATAAAGCAGATGTGGTGAATGCTCTATGGGATCAAATGGACAGTGCAAAAGAACAGTTGGGGAATCCTTACACTAAAAGACTAATTGTGGGGGAGGGGGAAGGGTGGGGGTGAGAAGATGTTCTGGAAGATATTCAACATTGAAGGGGGAACAGAGGCAGATTCTTAGTGAGGTTGCAACTGGTACTGTTAGCATGTCAACTCCTTTGTTGGTTCCTGAAGAAGGGGATGGAGCACATGTGGGAATGTCCTGAGTGCAGTGATATCAAATCTTGATTGACTTATTAATTCCGTACTCTAAATTCTTCCACAGAACAGTGAATCAGCTTTCATGATTTTTAACATTATTTTGTTACTGACGTGCAGATCGTTATGTCATTGTTGGAGCTCCCCGGTCCTCCTTGCCTGGCCAGTCACAGGATGCAGTGGCCAGCACTTCTGTCTTGATCCAGTTGGCTCACAGTTTCCACTACATGTACAACCAGCACCAATGGAAGCCTAGAAGGGGTGTCAAGCTGATTTCTTGGGGAGGAGCTGAGTTTTCCAACAGTGGAATGCTTCATTATATCAATGTAAATTCATCCAGTACCATGTGCACCATCCAGCATGTTTTTCATATTTGTACATCTCAAGTTTAGTCAGGCAAACTAAATCAATCCAGCAGCACAATTCACCCACAGTGTGCTGTGTATTTTGACCCTGTGGATGAAGTATACCAATGTTGTAATTGTTATTCCTTCATCCAGGCATCAGCTGTGGTCTTCTGGGACTCAAAGAGTTATATTTGTTTATAGTTTGTCTGAATCTTTGTTTTGTAAAACTGTCTCTGCCTGTTGTTTGACTGCTCTGATAATTCTCTTCTCCCCCCCCCCCCCCAACCCCTTTTCCCGTATGATAAATTCTATTGAGCAGTGACTTGGCTGCTATGAAAAATATTCTGTGATCAAAATCTTTCTCTTTGTTATTTGCTTCAGTCATTATGTCCTTTGCAGAACATTGCTCTCTTCATGGCATGCCTGTGAAGTCTCTCTTTCTTTAACCAATTTTCCAGCCCTGTGTTTTTTCATAGACAATGCACCTTAAGTCTCCTTTATCCATCTTCATGGAGAAACTGTACCCTCTATCACCATTCTCGCCACACCACCATGGCACTTGAAATGTCCAAAGTACCTCAGTTTTCAGTGCTGTTTACAAGCCAGTTCTCTTTGATATTTAGGTCACGCAGGATGTCAAAATTTGTCTTTTTTTTGTTTTTAAGCATGGTAAAGAGGATTCTGGTTTCTGTAGTTACAGTTAAAGCCAGTATATAAACTAATGTTGCAGACAGTTCCTGGTTTGTGAAGCCACAACTCATTTCAGTAAATGAACCATTTTAGAGAGTTTTCCTGACTTATGAAGTGATAATCAAAACCAGTAAATAAAACAGTGATCTAGAAAGTTCCTAGCCTTTGCAGTCACAGTCAGAAGCAATAAATAAACCTGTGAATTGTTTTTAATTCCCGGCCTATATGGTAACAGAGAAAACTAATTAATCTTATGATTTAGATATAATTCCTGGCATTACATAGAAAACAATAATTAAGTCAATAATTTAATATATTTCCTTACGGGTACAGTCAGAGAGAACACTAATAAAACTAATGATTTAGGTGTATTTCCTGGCCTTTTCAGTCCCGTGAAAACCAACAGATAAATCCGTGATTTTAAGTTTTTTCTTCTCTAGTTTCAAAACATTGCTGATTTTTGCTTTTTTTTTTTTTTTTAAAGGCTAGTAACAACATATGATAGTATAGCATAATATTACACCATACATTTCAAAGGTTTATAGTTGAATACCCACTCATTTTGATAATTTTTGATATTTCTGTTCTTTTATTTTAATGAATCATTTTGGTTCTCCTGTAGAATTACCATTTACTGCTGAATAGACGAGCTGTGGCATATTTTGATCTGAGCCAGCTGGCCGTTGGAAATGGATCAATTGTAGCCAACATTCCTCCTGGAATCCACCAGCTAGTTACAGCAACAACCTTTGATGTGAGTAAAAACATAAAGATGTGTTCTGGTGTGATGTTGAGCTCATATTGTTTATAAACTAATTGGAACTTTGGTGGGTGATGTAGGTAACATCAAGTCTGCCACCTATATTTCCTGGCACACGTTTAAGGTTGGGCCAGCAGGGGAACCTTGGTAAATTATGAACCCAACAGTTTAATGACGACAGACGCTGTGCTACTATGGTACCCCAGTAACTGTTAAGTAATAAAACTAAGAATTTAGCACTGTATGTTTTGAAATTGTTAGTTTTTTTTGTGTGGTATGTTTATTACTTTAATATAGAGCAGCAATGGGAGTTTGAAATGTACATTCAAAAAGTGATGTGTTAAGCTCTTTCATGGGGCATACACAAACAACAAACTTATTGCATGCACATGCTCAAACACATGCACACACACATGCTCACACACTTTTAATTTGAAATATGAATATATTAAATAATAAACTACATTCATTTATTAACTGATTCTTGCATAGGACAGAATGAATTAAATGATTTTACAAAATCACTAATGTACGACTAACATTCTGCACACAAATAAGTCACATCTGTAAAATGGATATGCATGCAAAACTCAAGTCCTAGAACAAGGCCAAAGTCCAGAAGTGGAGGAACAGCCAGGATTTTCCACTGAGTTCATAGCTGGTGAACATGACAAAGAACAGTCATGTGCGGCTTTGGGAGAGAACTAATCAAATTGCTTTGATTCAGATAAGGAAAAGCTGTTGATGCTGGATGTAACACATTTAGAAAATATTTAACAGTGTAACTAGAATATGTTTTAATATGAACCTACTGGGCTAAAGAATTAATGCTGGCTACAGGAAAAACTGTGGAAATAGCATTACCGACACAGATGAGTAAGGTGAAGCATGCAGCATACTTTGGCAGTGAACATATCTGGGCTCAATGGGTAGAGATTCGACATCACAGCATTCAGGACAAACCCATAATAACTTTGTATCAGTCATCACACAACCAACGAGGAGTCTTGATACTGTTGGTTGTGAACAAGGTGAGATTCCATGACTGAGTGAAGGCGTCTCTTTTGGGGTATAAAGGGTATTAGGCATTTAGGGTTTACCTTTCATCTAGTGCCTATATTCAACCTTTATGTGCCAATCTACCCATTAGGAACTTTTTTCACAAAGTGAGCACCAGATGTTGCTGTTTGAGGGACATGCCCTATTTTCTTACTATCGATCTAGTTTCTCTCACTGACTGTGTCACTTTAACTGGGAATGTACTCTTCATGAAATTCTGACTCCTCAGAGGCTGAATCAACCAAAGTATCAATCACCTGTTGGATTGTGAAAAACCTAGACCTATTTCACTTTCCTGTTGAAGTGCTTGGTTCATTAGGATTGTGAAAAACCTAGACCTGTTTCACTTTCCTGTTGAAGTGCTTGGTTCATTAGCCGCTCGTTTCATGTGAATTATCAGAATTTTTTTCACTTTAAACCAAAGTAAATTCAAACACATGTGGGCAGTCATTCCCAATAACTAACCACGAGGTTTGATCAAAATTGATTGGAAATTTTTAGTTTATGACGCGTTTTATCACGCAGTAGCAAAGTACCAAAAATTACAGTGGTTTAGCGTCAAATTAAGAAATTCCCAGAAAGCTGTACAGCGGCCTGGTAGAGTTAAGATTGGGTCAACCTGGAAGCCAAGGTAATTTATTTTTTAAAAAATAACTCCATCTAGCTGCTACACCACGTCGGCTCCCATAAAGGACAGAAGAAAGAAATACATTTTGTGTATAAAATTAAATTGAAAGCATATTTTGAAAATTGTGTTTGCTTTGTATAAAGAGATGTGTAATTTTGTAAATGATCAGGTCCCAGATCCTAGAAATGCTGAACAGACGCTGCAGATGAGTTGGAATCAGCTTGTGGAGAAGGACAAACACTTGAACCAACAGGATATAATCCCTTTGGAGAGTTACCATAGCGACAGTACCCATAATCCTTTTCTACATGTTGTGGGCATTCCTGAAGTGAAACTTCAATACAGAGCGGTATGGTTGTATGTGTATATGTGGTGTATGTATGTGTTTGTGTGGTGTATGTATGTGTATATGTGGTGTATGTATGTGTTTGTGTGGTGTATGTATGTGTATATGTGGTGTATGTATGCATTTGTGTGCTCATGTGTATGTTCATGTGATTTTTAATGCTTGTATGTATTTGTTTGTATATGTGTGTGCATGTTATTTGTGTTTGTACAAGTGAGTGCATTTGTATGTGTATAATATTGGATTGGCACCTCTCCATCTTTCCGGATGATAATGTTATACTGCACTATGAGGAGGCATGGGACTCGCAGCCATGGCATGGCAAAGGTGACTAGCAAGACCCGCCCGTGTTAAGAAGTCTTCCACAATTGTAGCATGTTATTTCAGGACCGTTGTTGTCAACATTTGTGTTTAGCATGTTTCTTCTCAGATGCACAGCTCTCATACTTTTTGCAATCATAAATGGAACCAGAGATTTAATTTAAAGTCATCCATGTAATCATCATCTTTATTTATTTGTATATATTATGAATTAGTCTGTTTTTACATTTAACTGCAGGGGTATATATCTGTTTAGCTTTATCCTCGGTGTTTAAATAATGACTGTTGGGCATTGACCAAAGAACTGACATCACAGCACTCAGGACATTCCCACAAGTGCTCAGTCCTCGCCTTCAGCAGCAAACGAAGAGTTGCAATAAAATAATAAAAATAGAAACTAAAGATTGCAGAATTAATTGCACAATTTATTGCCTGGTTATATTCCACTTTATCTTTTCCTATGCTTACTACAGAAGTATGTCAGCATACAAGCTTCTTCTGTTTCTTCTTCTGCTTCTTCTTTATTCACTCTAAAAAAAGGAGTTAGCACCTTGTGTTATGGTTTACCGCTAGGCTGCACCTCTTCTTCACCTTCGTTTTTTGTTCACTAGCTTTAAGCTCCAGCAGAAAGTCCTTGTTGTTTGTCAATTTAGACTTGCGTTGTACCAGGACCTGAGTTTTGTGTGTACATCCATGTTACTGGCTTATTTGTGTGCAGTTGGTTCCTTGCTGCTTGGGCAGATGCACTTTGACTTCAAATGAAGTTCCCAATTAGTCGACACTTACATCATGCTTGTTGCGAAAGCACTGGGTCTATTCTTGTTTTTCCCACACCGAGGCCCCGGAACCCACACGGAGGACCTGTAAGCTCAGTATATCATATTTCAAGAAACCCTTCATTAATTCTTTACTTCATCTTTTACCACTTCAGGTGTCAAGGGAGACATAGTTATGCTACTGATTCTTATGGCTGCCTTGACCATAGACACATCCAGCTGTTGTAGAGGTTCTCTGTTATTATCATTCCATTTTGTTCTTGAACTAACTCCTGCTATGTGTCTATCTCCTCTTTTTCATGTATGCCTTATATGGTATGGCATCACAAGACATTCTCTCTAAGAGGGCAAACCATTATATTTGCTGTTTTTGTATGTAATAAAGAATTGGTTCTGTTCATTTTCCCCTTATGACTTCACTTCTGATTGTATCTCTCATGGTCACTAGACTGCCTTTTACAAAATGTTTGTTAAGATTATAGTGGGTCTTTCCCCAAAATAGCTCAGGGAAACTCACACAGGACAAATACAATGAAATATTATAATTTCCTTGCTTGCTGATCTTAAAATCTTGATTTTAAATTGACACTGATTTATTTAAAAGTTGTTCTTGGGCTCCCAAATATACCAGCCTGAAATGAGCATCAGAAAATGCATTGGGAAGATCAGGTTATTGGTGTAATGTTGATCCCATCATCAATCAAATGCCTGATTTGATTTGATTCAAGAACCGACATCACAACACTCGGGGCATTCCCATAAGCGCTCCATCCCCATCTTCAGCAGCCAGCGAAGAGTTCCGATACTAATGGTGCCAGTAGCATTCTGATTAAACGTCCATCTTGCCTTTCCTCTGAGCCTCGAGCATCTGTCAGAAGCTCTTGTCACTCCCCGCTGCATTAATCTCACCAGACTGTGGTGATCCATCTGCTCCTCCGAACTGTACACGCTCTCCCACAAGGCACTAACCACGTCTGCTTTATCATGTATCAGTATTCCACCAAGTTGTGCAGAGTCAGCCAGTCTGTCCACCTGTTCATTTCCCAACACACCCTCGTTCCGGTGAAAAAATCCAGACAATACTACTCACCCGAGTCCTCCGCTGCGAAGCATGCCACTCTGCACGCAGCATACCTGTTTTGATCTTCCCTCAGCATGCTTTCTGAATCAGTTACAATCACGATGTGTGTGTGTCGTAATCAAATGCCTGTTGATTGATAAACATTAAGGTTTTGATTAGTTTAAAATCACAATTTTGTTGTGTTTTTTCATCATCAGCCACCCGGAAGCCAGAATTCTGTACAAGCAATGACCTCAGAAGACCTCGGCCACCATTACAAATTTCACATGACAGTGACTCACATCGTAACAAAAACCTTGCTAACAATTATAGATAATGAACTTTTACCTTTGAACCTTTTAAATGAAGCCAGCGCCATACAGGCAGCGATGTGGCAGACTTTAGATGTTCTGGATCATTGTTACCCGGACATGGATCATTTCAGTAAGAATTTACATTGTATTTTAGTTGAATTATTTGTCATTAAATGTTTATCTTGTAAAATATAAAATTTGGTGCTGACATCTGTTATCAGCTAAATTACACCATCTGCTGACACAAACTGCTGATACACCCATATACTGAAACACACACCTGCTAACATAGCTACCTGCTGACCTCTACACCTGCTGATGTATCCATATGCTGACATTCCCACCTGCTGAAACCTCCACCCGATGACACAGCCACCAGCTGACTCACCAACATGCTGACACCTGTACCAGCTGACGCCTGTGTATATTGTCGCACACATAAAATATCCCTTGGCAGTTGGAAACTGAAAAGAGTAGCCTAACAGCGCTGCCCGAGCTTAATTTGGAGTTTAAAATCTACCAAGTCTTTTCAGGATCCTCATCGGTACTACGGAGTTCATGCAGTACGCTGAGGATCTTCGGACTCAGGCTTGAGTCAGAAGTAGAACGGAGCACTTGTGGGTTACTACCCTTGAGCCATGATGTTGATCCGTTGTATAAATTTAAACCCACCAGCTGACACTGCCACCTTCTGACATAACCACTAGCTGACATAACCACTAGCTGACACACCCACCTTCTGACACACCTACCTTCTGACATAACCACCAACTGACATACCCACCTTCTGACACACCCACCTTCTGACATAACCACCAGCAGACATACCCACCTGCAGACGCACCCACCTGCTGACACACCCACCAGCTGACATAACCACCAGCTGACATACCCACTTTCTGACACACCCACTGACATAACCACCAGCTGACATACCCACCTGCAGACACACCCACCTGCTGACACACCTACCTTCTGACACACCCACTGACATAACCACCAGCTGACATACCCACCTGCAGACACACCCACCTGCTGACACACCTACCTTTTGACACACCCACTGACATAACCACCAGCTGACACACCCACCTGCTGACATAACCACCAGCTGACACACCCACCTTCTGACATAATCCCCTGCTGATATACCCACCTGCTGACACACCCACCTTCTGACATAACCACCAGCTGACATTTAAGGACCTACCCATCTGATGGCCTCATTTACAGACCTCCTCATCTACTAATGTAAATACCCACTGTATATTAAACCAATATTGTGTCACTTCGACAGATCCAGTGACCACACTGAGTGAAGACCTCCTGAAAACTGCTGAAGATTTTCGAGAAGTGGCCAGCATGTTTGTGAAAAGATTTGACAAACCAGGAGTCAGAATGGTCAATGACATCAGCATGTCGTTTCAGCAATTCTTTCTCAAGAACAATAATGGGTTTGTTTTTTCTTCCTGTTTTCAAAGTCATGGTAGCATAGTTGTTGTTCACAATCGCTGGCTGTTAACTCAGAAAGTCCTGGTTGTTCGTCCACTTCTGGACTTTACTCTTGTTCCAGAACTTTAATTTTTGTGTACACATCCATTTTACAGAGCTGGGCTAGCATAGTGATTGATGCATTTGTTTACCAAGATAGTTGTAGTCTTCTTGTCCCTTCATCTTCAAAAAGGTGGTTGACACATTGTATTGTGGCTTCCAGCAAAGCTGTGATATATGAGCTTTGTGGCCCAACACCTCCGATTTCAGCAAACCATAATTTGTCTACTTTTACAATATGCTTGTTTGGAGATGACGGGTCTCCCCGAATTCAAAAACTCATCCTACCCCACCAAAACTGGGGCTCTGTTTCTTTGGACTAATTCACAGATGATCTCATTAATAAATTAATCACTCTGTATTAATTTACATATTATCTCATCAATAAATAGATCACTCTGGATTAATTTACATATTATCTCATCAATAAATTAATCACTGGATTAATTTTCATATTATCTCATCAGTAAATTGATCACTCTGAATTAATTCACACATTATCTCATCAATAATTAAATTTTGTAAATGTTTAATTAAGAATCAACAGGCAGCACTCGAGCCATTCCTTTCAGTGCTCCATCCCTATCTTCAACAGTAAGCGCAGAGTTTCAGTTTCACTGGTACAGTCTGATTGTATATCCGTCTCACCTTTCCCTTGAGCGCTGATCATCAACCAGATCCCCTGGTCACTCCTTGCGGTAACATTCTCTTTAGACCACGATGATCCATTTGTGATTCCGCACTATTCACTCACCCCCAAGGGGTCCTTACAACATTTAGCTTGTCATGCATCAGTTCACTACAAAGTTGTGCAGAACCGCCAGTTTCTCTGCTTGTTCATTTCCCATTACACCCACATACCTGGAGAAAATATCCAAAAGACTATTCAGGACCTCTGAAGCGATCCTTACCACTCTTCACAGAGCATAGCTGTCTCCTCCTTTCTCAACCTGCTCTGTGAGTCAGCTTCAATTACCTCATGTGTACAGCTGATTCTCAAGCCAGGGAATGGCTGCAGTGACTGATTCCATCTCCATTCCCAAACTAGATGTTGTGGTGTCATATGCCAGGCTTTGTTGCACTAAGTGACATCCATTCACTTTTGCTAAGAATTCCCATGCACTTTGTCTGCCTCTCAACACAGAGCCATCTGGATAGGTTATCACATCACTTTGGCAGGAATTGTCATGAATCATTTGTTGAACTTCTGATTCTCCAGCACCAACTGGCCCTGCACTCATGTCTCAGTGTGATCAGAACACTACACAAGTCTTGACTTTTGCAGGACATTCTAACCCACTCATCTCCTTGCCTAACTTTACCAAGCCTGCACACATCTAATTGTGTCTTCAGCTTGCCCTATCCAAGACCTTCCTCTTTTCAGTCTGTGACCCTTAGCTCTGTCTAAGGCTTCATGCGAGAGATGTTTCTTATCTGCAGCTACTCTGAGATATGACTTAGCTTGCAGCGCTTTGAGCCTATCTGTAATAAATGGCAGTGCATATATGTATGGCATACATACTACCATCCTGGAATCACCCTCATGGCTTCATTATGTATGCATTGAAGTTTAATCAGCTGACACTTTGAAATGTTAAGTATTCCAAGTCCATAATATATCACAGAGGAGATCCAATGCTGGAACATTATGAAAAATATTCTTTGATCATTGAGTCCTTTTTGGCATTTTGCCATGACTGCTTTCACATGATCCCTGAAAGACAGGATTCTATTGAAAGTGATACCCTGGTACCTCAGTTTGCTTTCTCTTTCTTTTTGTGTGTGTTGTTATTGATGTTTCTGTCACTAATTGTGAGACCTGGAACATCTGCTCCTGCAATTCTATTGTCCAGAGAGCACCAAAAAAACAGCCGCCTTTTCATTGTTGATGACAACACCGGGTTGATGACAGCACCCATTTCTGCACACCAGTTAGTCACTTTCTCTACAATGGCCTGTAGTTCTTGGGCTGCCTGTTGCCTATCATTTTCCTGCCTATATGCAAAAACATCATCTGCAAATGTTGGTATCCTTTCAACCCCTGGGGCTTCATAATTGTTCATTGTATCCCTCCCTATAGAATAACTCTGATGAATAAATGAACTGTTTAACCTATAATTTTACATTTCTGCAGTCATCTCATGAATGATGTATTATTTAATGTATCTGTAGTGTGGGGTAAGATGAATGGGTGGGGTTTTATTGAAGATGTGAATGGACACTATTTGAAACCAGAGAGCTTCACTGACAGCATCACTACATACAGTATGAGAATGGAGGTGAAGTTAGTAATGGCAGCTTTCCTGTGGCTTGAGAGCAACACAGCCGGATAGAGTATGCTTTGGAAAGTGAAATAGGCATCCTTTCGTGCAGAGTGGCTTGAGAGCAACACAGCCTGACAGAGTACGCTTTGGAAAGTGAAACAGGCATCCTTTGTGCAGAGTGGATTGCATCACATAATAAGACTCAGGTCAGGAGCATATTATGAAATTTTTTGTCCAGGACATTCAGGTGTGCGAGGTAACGAGCAGGCTGTTAGATTAGCTGCTGCCACTTCTCTGGGTGTTAAGCTACTTTATGATAAAGCGAATGTGGTGAAAGCTCTTTGGGATGAAATCGGCAGTGCAATAGAACAGACAGAGAATCCATACACTGAAAGACAAATTCGACAGGGAATGAGAGAGGTTCTAGAAGAGATTTAACATGGAGGAGGAAACATAGGCAGACTGTTAATCAGATCGCAGTTGGTACTCATAGCATGTTGACTCTTCATTGGCTACTGAAGACGGGGACTGAGCAAGCACTTGTGGGAATGTCCTGAGTGCAGTGATATCAATTATTGATTCATTCACGCATCACTTTTAATTAATTTATAGATAATCTAACTAATAAATGAATTGTTAAATTTATAATTTTGGTTTACACTCCAGATGATCTCATAAATAAATTAAAGAATATATACATTTATATCATTTTGGATTACACTCCAGATTATCTCATAAATAAATTAAAGAATATATCACTTTGGATTAATTCACATATTATCTCTTTAGATTAATTTATAGTTAATTCATTGATGATTTAATTTTTGCCTGTATGACTTCAGATTAATTCACAGATTATCTAATTAATAAAGGGGGGGGGGGGGGGGGGGGGTTGCTTTTTTTAAAAAAGCATATCTTTTTGAATAATTCACCCCCCCCTGTGGGTTCTAGGGCCCCATTGTAGGGGTAAACAAGAATAGACCCACTGCCTCCCCAAAAAGCATGTCGTAAGAGTCGACTGATTGGGGAGCTTCCTTTGAAGTCGGAGTGCATCTGCCGGAGAGTCAAGGAACAAACAGTCTGTATTCAAGAGAATGAGATCTGTAAAACTGATGCACATTCAACACTCAGGTTCTGGAGCAGGACTGCAGTTCTGAAGTGGATGAGCAACCAGAACTTTCCGCCAGAGTTTACAGCTGGTGAACGCCAAGAAGAAGAATAATTCACATATTATCTCATGAATAAATCAAATGTTTAACATATTTTTTGTTGTTGAAATAATTCACAGATTATCTCAACACATCCTCTATCCAGCCTTGGCTGATGGCACTTTGATGAAAGCCTTAGATTTGTGTGAAGTTCTGGAAGTAACTCAGGAAAGAAATATTACAACAGAATTGGCAGAATCTCTTACCAGAGCCCTGAAAGATGCAATGACACTCTTACATTTCAGTGCATAGAATTTACAGTAAAATTATTGCTAATCCTGTGGTTGCTATGCTAAAGGTTGGCCATCTTGACCCCTTCTGGTGTCACAATATTATGTCTTTTTTTAAAAAAAACTAATTTTTACACCAAATGAAATTTTGCCAAACCATTTTAATTGCATTTTATCAAATGTAGATATTTGTAAACATTTTGTGAAATAAAGTTTTTATGCATTTCTTTGAATTTACTTCTACTCTACTGTATACGCAAACAGCAACATCAAACCCCATCTACACATGCATGCATGTAGACAGAAAAGAAGAGAGAGAGAGAGAGAGAGAGAGAGAGAGAGAAAGAGAGAGAGAGCAACCATCACAGTGTGTGTAAGGGAGAGATTGTAAATATTACATTGTGTGTGTGGGGAAGAGGGGGGGGGGGGGGGGGGGGGGGGGAGGTTGTATGCAACTGTTAGTATGTACACAAGTATACCTGAAATAACTGACATTCAGAATAATACCCTGAAACTAGTCTAGACTGAAACCAAGCTTTTCTCAGAATTCTCACTGCTAACTTGAGACACAAGCATCTTAACATCCTATGCTGTTTGAATGTCACAGATAATGATTATTATTATTTCAGTACTTACATGAACTTCAATACACGCTGTACATACATATCGTGATTGTCACTGACTCACAGAGCATGTTGAGAAAGGTGGAGACAGGTATTCTCCCTGCAGAGAGGCAAGCATCACTTTAGAGGTCCCTGTTAGTTAGCATCCTTTGGATATTCTCTCCAGGTCATATTGGTGTGTTGGAAAATGAGCAGGCAGATAGACTTGGTGATGAATTGATGTATGATAAATAAGACATTGTGAGGGCTCTTTTGGAGCATGAAAACAGTGTGGAGGCACAGATAGATCATTACGGTCTAAGGAGAATGGTGCTGCAAGGAGTTACCAGGGGATCTGGCCGACGCTCAGCACTCAGGGGGAGGAGGAGACGGTTGGAATTGGAACTCTTCACTTGCTGCTGAAGATGGGGACTGAGCACTTATGGGAGTTTCCTGAGTGCTGTGATGTCGATTCTTAATTCAACTTTCTACATATCAATGGCGCATTGGGTATGTGAGGTTAGACTTATAAATAGTTTGTATAGACCAAACGGTTCGCAGTGGTTGAAGTAGTGAACATCATGCTGTCTTCACATCCTAGGAGCTTATCTGGTATTCGTTTAAGGCTGGGTCAACCTTTGAGCCAAGGTCTTGTTTGAAAAATATCCATCACCATGTAGGTTTGAACCTACAACCTTCAGATCTGCAGGCAAGCATCTTGCTGCTACAACACAGCAGCTCCCACTGTAACTGTCGTAAAATCTATTTACTGGGGGATTGGTCAGCACTCTTCTAAGAGGGGCGTTCAGAAAGTGATGCTCCACATTTTATTCTCTTTGCAAACCAAAACTCAATGACAGTATAGCTCATTATATCTTTCCTCTTCTTTTCTTTCACCTTGTAACTCAGCAAAGTGTTGGGGGAGATGTAACGTTAATTGATAAGCTCTGCCAAAGCACTATTAAGACTGATGTTCATTTCTGTAAGGCTGTTCTTAATGCCATCACTCCATCTTTTCCGAGATCTTCCATTCGCCCTATACCCGTTTAATGTTTTAGTGTGGCTCACTGTGGCAGATAGTACCAGGGCATTCTTGTTAGGTGTCCAAACCACTTCATTTGTTGTTCTTTGATGACTTGTAAGACTGGCTTTATTCCTAGTAATCGTCTGATTTCAAATTCTGTCTTTCCTTGAAATTCCTGCAGCTCTTCTAAGGCATTTAATCTCTTGTCACAATTTTAGGTCCATTGGAGAATGTGAGTGTCCACGTTTGACACTAATAGCATAGTGTTGGCCAAAAAATAGTTCTAATAATATTCACTTTAGTACTCCCAGGTATCTGCTTGTACATCCTTGAACATCATAATTTTTTGCATAATCTTTGTCCACCTAAATGATCTAACACCAGCGCAAAACAAAGGCATATATATCTTGCCTGTATCTAGTTTGTCCTGATCATGTAGACGTTTTCTCCATCCACTTCTGAATCTGAGCCTTTCTTTAGCATTTCAGCTCGAAATCCCCTGTTGTCTTCCTTAATGACTGCAAGATAGTCCACGACTGACATCTATAGGTTGCTACAGGGATGCTGCAAAACTCTCAAAATGTTTGACTTTGATTTCCTTACTGGAGCTAACTGTAGACTTTTAAAGCTATTTAATCTGTGCATTGCTATGGCCATCCTCATTTTTGCTACTTCCGAACAGTCTCCATTGCTGTTTATTATGGAGCCTGGATATTCAGAGCTTATCAGACAATAATTTGTTTGTATGTTGGATTCTCTGTGGCTAAATAGTCAGGCTGATTGCCTCATGCTCTGAAGGTTTAAGTTCAGTTCAAGCTTTGTTCAATTGACAAGTAAGGTTTCTTCTGAGATCCCTGAGGATGTTGCTGGAGCTATGGAATTTGTGCATTTGTGTGGTGCTCTTGGCGGGTGACTAGCCATTCTCCAGAAAGTCTGGGATAAAACTATGTGCTTTAAGTTGATCCTCTTGACTCTGACTTTTATTTGTGAAATCTCATGTTATTTACACAATCAGATATCATTTATCATGATTTTATCAAACTCTTTCATATTCAGATGAACGTATTTTACACAGAATATTATCACACTAGCTTAATGTCTACAGTTTCATAAAACGAAAGATATATGCATCGCTACATTCTTTGTCCAGATAGAAACAACAAAACTATCTGTAATGATGTTGTATGTATACAGGGGTAACTGCAGTTGAGATGATGACAAGAAGTGCTAAATTTAACATAAAATGAGCCTAGAAAGTGATGTGCCCTGTCAGTTTTAGCATTCTCAGTCCTGTAGGGATCAATATTTAGCCTGTGTTTAATTAGTTTACATTTTTTTTAGAAAGGAGGAGGGGGCATGGTTGAGGGAAGAATACATAAATCTTTTATGCATTATTACCAGAGCATAGGAATTATGTTTTCTTATCTGCAAGGTAAAATGTTGTATGTATTATGCTGTCGTATTTTGTGTAGAATTCACATCTGACTTCTTTCATGATTTTCACAGATCTCAGGGATTTTTAATTAAACTTTGTATGTTTTTTTTTTAATTTGCTAATGTCTGACTTTTAAAACTTTGTATGTTTTTATGGTTTTTTTTAAAAAGTGTTTTGTACAGTTTATAAATATCAATGCCACATACGGACATACAACTAATAATTCGGATGTTAAATGTTAACAGTGATGTCTTCAAATCTGTTTCCATGCTTAACTGTTTCCCAGTCGTGGTTTGAGCGTTTTTTAAGAAAATAATTTAAATGCATTTCTTCTTCACCAGTTTCAGTGTTTTCATGTTTGCCAGTTTAAATGTTTTTCTCTCCACTAGTTTCAACGTTGTAATTTTTACCAGTTTAAATGTTTTTCTCTTCATTATTTGAATGTTGTAATTTTGACCAATTTAGATGTTTTTCTCATCAACAATTTAAATGTAATTTTGACTAGTTAGGATTTTTTTTCCTTTACTAGTTTACACATTTTCCTCTAACTAATTTAAATGTACAGTGTGTGCATATTTGAGCACGCACATGTACATGTGGACTCAGCTCGTGCACATGGGCACACACACACACGCATGCACCTCACCACTGCCCCTCCATCAGTTCTCATAATTAACTATTTGTGACCTTCTCTACCAAATAACCTCTTCTGTTCTGTAACTAGAATAATTCAAAATAAGGTTTGTAGTTTATTACTAATATTATCCACACTGTAACCTACAAGTTCGCATGATTCTACAACTTCAAGTTGAGTTTCATTGGTAGAAATAAGGTTGTCATTGAGTTTTACTCTTAAAAATCTTATTGTTCATGAGATGTGGCATTGGTAGTCATGTCTGTGTATAACCTTCTGTCTTGTGATCTTTAAATATGTTCTGACACAGATGATCTTCTATGTCATGATGTCAGATTGTCCTGCGTCTTCTTTCTTAGTCACCTTCTGCCTCTTTTCCCCCCAAACTTTCTCTCCCTCATGATGTACTCCAGGTTTTTCTCCTTCCCATAACATGACAAAAGAATATAGACTCTCCTTCTGATGTGGGCAGTCAGTTACCATTGCCAGTTATTTTCTTGCAAGACAACTTCATTACTCTGGGAGATAATGTTATCATTTTACTGGTTTTTCTTCACATTATCTTTTTTTGTGTGTCTTAACATAATTTTGGTAGTAAATCTGTATTGTTGTACATTGTTTCAATATATGTATCACTTATAGAATATTTGTTTAATTTTGATGTGTGTGGCAACAGTTAAATGTTACCATTTTACTGTCATAACAATGTTGTGTATTATGAAAGTTCTTTTACTTTTGTTGTCTCACTGATACCAGGTTGTAGCCCAGTGTCGTGGTTTTGTCATCTCACTGATACCAGGTTGTAGCCCAGTGTCGTGGTTTTCTATCTTGCGTTGTTCAGGTGGCTTGGGTAATGGACTTGTTCATCTTGTTGCAGGTTTCAGCTACACCATTTAACCATTTCTTTCTTGTTCTTTCTCTAACCTTCCTTCCAGATGTTCCAAGCCCTTGAGGTTTATTGCTGCAAAAACACCTGCCTCCACTCATCTCTCTGATTAGCCTTATCTTTCCAGTTTGTGACACCAAGTGTTTGCAGGTCTGTCTAGACATTATCTCCCCATCTTCTTTTTGGTCTGCTTTGAGGTCTACAATGATTAATCTCCCTTGTGTATAAAGTTTTTACTTCTCTGTCATCTGACATTCTTTTAATATGCCCCAACAATTTTAGTCTATTAGCTCTCATGATGCCAGTGATCAGTAGTGATTTAAACAGATTATGAATTTCGTTGTTGCTTCTCACTCTCCATTTCTCCCCGTTTGCATCTTTGATGGGTACCTTTAACATTCCATGTTCGTTGTCTGTTTAAAGCCATGCGAAATCAAGGTT